TTTCATTTTCTTACAGATGGGCATCCAGGTTTGCCAGCACTATTTGTTAAAAAGACTGTCTTTTCCTTGTTTAATGGACTTTGGTCCTTTGTCAAAGATCAGTTGACCATAGGTGAATGGATTTACATCTGGGCTCTCGATTCTGTTCCATTGGTCTATGTGTCTGTCGTAACAGTTACCAGGCTATTTTGACTACTGTGGCTGTGTAGTGGGTTCTGAGTTCAGGTATTGTGAGGCCTCCTACTTTGTTGTTCTTCTTCAGTAATGCTTTGGTTATCCGGGGCCTGTATTCAGTGTTTTTAAACAAGATCAGCTGTGCATTCTGGGTGTTGCCAGGGAGCTTGAGAAGGAAAGGAAGAAAGGATGGTTGTTTCTGTAGCAGTAGATTACTTGTAGGAGTGCCTCCAAGGGTGCAGAAAGTGATGCTTGGCTGGCTTGGGCCTTACTGACTTTTGTTATAGATCAATCTTTGTCTCCTTGAGCTATGACTTTGCATTTTCTTTTTGGTAGTAAACTGAATAATGGATCCTCCTGTCTCCTCTCCCTTTGCTCTACATGGCAGTGGGTGGGGAGGGCTCTGCTTTAAGTAGGTGCTTAGGTCTAAGTAACTCAGCATCTCCAATTGGGATTTCCCACGCAGCAGATCTCCTATCCTGAGTTACTTAGTAATAATTAGATCTTTGGTCTCTAGTTTCTCAAGCCGACTCAAGCAACTCAGCATCTCCAATTGGGATTTCCCACGCAGCAGATCTCCTATCCTGAGTTACTTAGTAATAATTAGATCTTTGGTCTCTAGTTTCTCAAGCCGACTCTGGAACAGCTCGCCTAGGTGGGAATCTGGTGGAATCACTCTCTGTGGTGGGATCCCCTCCAGTCTACAATGTAACCTTCTGGTCAGCAGGGTGTGGCACGGAGCTCCCGCTCATCACTGCACGGTAGGGAGCGATCTTTGCTGTCTGTTCTTCCTTAGGCTTGCTAGTTGATTTGGTGGGTACAGAGCTGGAACTTTTATCAGGAAAAGCTGCCTGTCTTGCTGCTTAAAGCAATGATTCTCAAACTTGAGTAGGCAGTGTCACACTCACCTGGAGGGCTTGTTAAAGCACAAATTAGTGGGTCCTACTCCCAGAGTCTATAATTCAGCAGGTCTGGGAAACCCTAATAGCATAGTGGTTTTAAGAGTTTGGCTGCTAACCCAAAAGGTTTGAATCCACCAACTGCTCTTTGGAAACCCTATGGGGCAGTTCTACTTTGTCCTATAGGGTCGCTATCAGTCGGAATTGACTCGACAGCAACGGGTTTTTTTTTTTTGGAACGAGGCCTGAGAATTTGCGTTTCTAATGAGGTCCCATTATGATGCTGATCTTGCTAATCTGGAGGTAATACTTTGAGAATGAACAGTTTAAAGGATGAAAGCAATTAGTTTCTAGTGAAATTGTTTTAAAATATTTCTTTTTTAAGCTTTTCATAAGTTCACATTGCCACTGTTCGCTTTTCTGCCCTTGCCCTCCATGCCATTCCCATGTATAAATTTTTTTAAAATTTTTTGAAGTGAAATGAAATATTCTAAGGAACAAAAGTAGCTATTTCTAAGAACTAACCACCAGGTGGCACTAAAGCCCCATAAGCATTCCTTCTTAAGAGTCAAACATTTCTAACCATTAAACCAAACCCAAACCTGTTGCTTTTAAGTCCATTCTGACTCATAGTGACCTTATAGGACAGAGTAGAGCTGCCCCATGGGCTTTCCAAAGCTTTAAATCTTTACGGGAGCAGATTGCCACATGTTTCTCCTGGTGGGTTCGAACTGCTGACCTTTCCATTGGCAGCACAGCACTTAACCACTGGGCCAGCAGGGCTCCTTTTCTAGCCACTAGTTACAGTCAATCTGCTCCTGTAAAGATTTCAGCCTTGGAAACCCTATGGGACAATTCTACTCTGTTCTGTAGGGTCACTAAGAGTCAGAATTGACCCCACGGCAATGGGAGTTAACTGTTTACAAAGCAGTAACTAAGGATCAGGCTCCTCTGAGCTCCTGGAACACACGTGTTCTCTAATTGTCCTTTTAATTTTTCACTTAAAGCACAGTAGGATGGGAGGAATTGAGATGGTCTGCGTTAAAAAAAAAAAAAAAAAAGTTTCCAATCTCTTTCTACCGTGTTCCAAAGTGAATTCTCATACCTTCCATATGCTTGGGACCATTTCTTAAAGGCTAGCACAGAAAGCTTGAATCTGTGCTTTACTCTCCTTGACTTAGTGTTTTATGCTCTTCTGGTGGGTTAGGAGGAAAGAAGAAAAAAACATTAAGTCCCTTAGCTCTTTCTGAGAGTCACCAGCCTAACAAAGACAGGACAGCTTTTAGATTGAGCTTCCCAGCTGCATCCCCCAACCCAGACATATCACTCAGTCTGTCTTTGTATGTTTGTATGCACGTATATCAGTATGTAGTACTTAATATTATTTAAAGGAGCCCTGGTGGTGCAGTGGTTAAGCACTCAGCTGCTAACTGAAAGGTTGGTGGTTCAAACCTAGCCAGCAGCTCTGTGGGAGAAAAGACAGCGATCTGATTCTGTAAAGATTATAGCCTAGGAAACCCTATGGGTTACTTCTACTCTGTCACATTGGGTTACTGTGAGCTGGAATCAGCTCAACGGCACCTAATAACATCAACACCAATATTGTTGTTATGAAATGGTGTATGTTCATTGCTGAAAAGTTAAGGAATGAAGAAAAACACATGTAAGAAGATAAAAATCACTCATAACCCCTCTCCTTAGAGATAACTTTTATTAACACATTGGATTCATATTCCAATAGCCTTTTACCCAAGCCATTTTATATACATGTAAACATGTATGTATTTACTTTTTAAGCATCAAATTGGGACCAGACATTGCATACGGTATGTGTCAGGCTGCCCTTTTCACCTAAGTGCATATATTGAATATTTCCCCATTTCATTAAACGTCCTTCTAAAATGTAATTTTTAACAGCTGAACAGTATTCCATGGCATGGTGTGTCACGGTTTATTTGACACAATTATTATATTAAAAGCAGGGTTAGGCAGGGAGTATGTTTGTACAAATGGATTAGATAGGAACTTTGCTAGATGGAGTGGCTTGTATTTCATCTGGGATACTGGATGGGTGGAACATCTGGGGAACACTGACTTTTCTTTTGATAATGCAAACGGATTGGAGAAAACCAAGTTCCGTTTCGACTTTGTTCTTCAGCATCAGAATTGTGGAGACAGAACCATCACTCCTCCCTCTGGATCCCTGAGCTCTCAGGGCCAGTACAGGTCAAGGGTGGAATAGTCTTAGAAAATTCTAGTACTTAGAATTCTGTACTTTCCTGCTATGATAGGAGAGAGACACCCAGTTTTTGGGAGCTGGAGCTCATGGCCTGGAAACACGGGGGATTGCCTGGTCTTTGAGGCTATGTTCTGTCTGGCCTGGCACTTCTTGAGGGTCGCTGTTGTTAATGTTGTTTTTGATGTGTCACAGCTCTCTGCAGGCTGAAGGAACAGAAGAAGGTTCCGAATTGGTCCAGGAGACAACACGGCGACTACAGAGGACAAGTCCACCTTTAGGAGGACATTTTCGGATTCAGCTTTCTAATACAGTGATACCTGGTAAAGAGGCAGTTGGGGTGCAGCACTTCTCATTTACATTTTTAGGGGTATTCTCAGATAATGTCCCAGCCTTGTAACGTTGTAGATATGGAAATGAATGTATTAGCTTCACTGAGCTGCTGTAATACGTGGCCATACTTGGTAGTTTAAAACACAGAAATTTATTCTCTCACAGTTTTGGAGGCCAGAAGCCCAAAATTAAGATGCCAGCAGGGCCACACTCCCTCCAAAGGTTCTAGGGGAGAATCTGTTCCTTGCCTCTTCCAGCTTCTGGTGACTGCAGGTGTTCCTTGGCTTATGGCCACATTACCTCAATTTCTGCCTCTGTGGTTACATTACCTTCTCCTCTTCTGTCTCAAAACTCTGTCGATCTCTCATAAGGATATATTTATTTAAGGCCCACATGGATAATCCAGGATAAGCTCCTCCTCTCAAGATCTTTAACTAAATCACATTTTTATATTATATATATATGTATATATATTTTTTATTATGGTAGATATATATGTAACATCATTTGCCTTTTCAGAATTCTTCATGTGTACAAATCAGTGACATTAGTTATATTTATCATGTTGTTCAGTCATTATCATTATCTATTTCCAAATTTTCCCATCATCCTTAATAGAAGCTCAGTTTCCCCTTTTCCCCTCCATCACACCTGCCCCTGGTAGCCACTAATAAACTTTGGTCTCTATATGCTTGCCTATCCTAAATATTTCATATAAGTGAAATCATACAATATTTGTCCCTTTATTAATCATATTTTTTGCTGTATAAAGTAATATTCACTCTTCCCCTTATAAGGCAATACTCACAGGTTCTAGGGATTAGAAGGTGAACATGTCTTTTGGGGGGCTACCATTTAGCCCAATAAATTGACACTTGCCCAGACATGAACTTGGATATTTGATTCCCAGGTCAGTCTCTTCTCTCTAGAGTTCCCTGAGCCAAGCTCTGCAGTAGCTGTGGTCCTTTAGAATTATACTCAGCGATGACACCATATACTATCAAGGATTTTAGTGGTCATCACAAATGTAGAAAGAACTTTTAGATGCCACTAGAGTAGGACAGGTGCCCTAGTGGCGCAGTGGTTAAGAGCTCGACTGCTAACCAAAAGGTCAGCAGTTTGAATCCCCCAGCCACTCCTTGGAAACCCTATGGGACAGTTTTACTCTATCCTATAGGGTAGCTATGAGTCGAAATTGACTCGATGGCAAGGGGGTAAGGAGTAGAGCAATTTCTAATTATTTAAGAATATATACATTTCATGAAGAACAAAGATTAGAAGTGATTATGATATGTTATTTATTTGGTAGAAACGGAGCAATCAGAAAGGAGATTCAGGAGACCTCAGGAGTGGCTGTGTAAAAATTGACAAATGAACCAGAAGTCTTTTGCCCTCCCAAACAGAAAGATGCTGGGCTTGCAAAGAATTATCTTGGGTAGGAGGAATGGAGTGGTTTATTGTGATGGAACAAACTGGGAAAAGTTGAAGGCCTCTAGGTTATTAGAATCTTGATAAATGGGGTGAATAAGCAGCAAGAGTGCTCTGCCTCTATGAAGTTCATTACCACTGTGCCACATTTCTCTGCCGTCTCATGGATAAGAGCTACTGCTCTTGGGTAGAGAGACTCTACCTGTCACCATGTTCTGTTGCTAATTTCCTTATAACACTGCCCACAGAACAACTGGCCTGGCCTTTTGAAATGGTGATGTCCCTCAAATTATGTATTAGTGTCAAAAATGTTTTCTAAAAAGATGAGAATTTTGTTTGCATTTTAGAAATATAAAAAACCCACTGCTGTTGATTCCAACTCATAGTGATCCTGTAGGACAGAATAGAACTGCCCCATAGGGTTTCCAAGGCTATAAATCTTTACAGAAGCAAACTGCCACATCTTTCTCCTGAGGAGTGGCTGGTGGGTTTGAACTGCCGACTTTTGAATTAGCAGCTGAGTGCTTAATCACTGCACCACCAGGGCTTCTTTTTAGAAATATACCAACCAAAACCAAACCTGTTGCCATCGAGTCAATTCTAACTCACAGTGAGCCTATAGGACTGGTTAGAACTGCCCCATACGGTTTCCAAGGAGTGCCTGGTAGATTGGAACTGCTAACCTTTTGGTTAGCAGCTGTAGCTCTTAACCAGGGTTTCAGTTAGAAATATAGTAGTGTTTTATTAACCCTTCAGGGCAGTGGGGAGTAAGGCAAGGCTGTTGAGTAGGTAGAAGGCAATCTGGGTTTTAATCTAAACCTCTCTCACTTGGTTGGCAAGCTTCCAAAGCTCGTGCTTCATTTTCCTCATTGCTAAAGTCGGCGTTAGCATACCTACCTGACCCACCTCATAGGGCTGTTGTGAGTAGCTAATGAAATGGAAACTTTTGGTAAAGCATGAAGCAGGGTTCAGTCATAAGCAGGGTCAAACAGAGAGTGTTGTTATTTCTCTGTGGGGATGTGGAATGGGGAAGCAGGTGGTTGGGCTTAAAGGAAATTTTAATAGAGAAACTGAAGTTGGATGCCAGCATTCCTCAGCTGGGTTGGCTGAGTTTTTATGGGTCAGCTGTTACGTGCCTCCCCTATTCCCTGTGAAAGGTGGCCAACTTTTTTCTGTTCACAGGGCCAGCTAAAATTTTCCAGGGAAAATCCACTATTTAATTAGACTTTCAGGCATGACTGGGGTGTCTGGAGCTTACACTCTGAGTTGACAGTGTTGAGGTGGTTCTCTCTGATGTTACTGTGCTCTCTGCTATGTGATAGTGGTACTGATTGAGGCATCACAGTGTAAAAAGTGGACCCAGTACCAGTTGCTGCTGAGTCAGCTGGCTCATGGTGGCCTGTGTGTGTCAGAACAGAACTGTGCTCCAGTGGGTTTTCAATGGCTGACTTTTCAGAAGTAGATCACCTGGTCTTTCTTCTGAGGTGCCTCTGGGTGGACTCGAACCTTACAACCTTTTGGTTAGCAGTTGAGCACAGTTACAGTTTGCACCACCCAAAACAAAAAATCAAACCAGTTGCCATCGACCCAGGGACTCCAAAAAGTTGGTAGCTACTTGTATCTTCCTTAGAGAAAAATGGTTTAACTAGGGCTGGGGGTTCTCTTGAAGATATATTTTGATCTTGAAGGCTTCCTGCACATTTTAGTCAGCTTCTTGATGTTTATTTCTGTTCTTCTTTGATGATGAGACCTTGCAAGGTGGATTAATTAGTGTCTTGTATTTTCTACATGAAAATCTTTTCCCACAGGTGTCCCTGTGCACATTTCTGCTGGCCAGCTTCACAAACTCTTACAGAACAGTGCTGATGACTTCACATCCAGGTACCTCAATGTCAGTGACTTGACAGTGAAGGAAGATCTAAGCACTTGCTACGAACATGTATGGACACTCTCCTGGTCCATCCAGATTGGGGATTTGCCCATTTTCATCAGGGTATGTACGATATACCTTTTGATGGTATGGATTTGGAGCCCTGGAGAAATTTGTATAAAAACAAAATAAAACATCAGGCTTGTACAAATGGAAACTGTCATGAATTGTTAATTTTGTTGGAATATTCAAGAAAAGGACTCATATCATTTTTCTTTCTGGAAGTTTTTCAAGAAATTTTTTGTGTCTCATATCCCTGATGAAGCAATTTAAACCCACCATCTTCTTTCCCAACTCACTTTGGTAGAGAAGCTGTTGGTCAGTGTCCGTCCATACCTGTACCCATTGCTTTTGAGTCCATTCCGACTCATGATGATCCTACAGGACAGAGTAGAATTGCTCCAAAGGGTTTCCAAAGCTGTAAATCTTTATGGAACCAGACTGCCACATCTTTCTCCTGCAGAGCTACTGGTGGGTTTGAACTGCCGAACTTTCGGTTAGCAGCCGATTGCTTTAAGCACTTTAACTGCTTTCTCCAGGGCTCCTTGGTCAGTGTCCACCATGCAATAATTCTACATCTGTTATTGGGTAATTTAAGCAGATGTGATCAACTTAGATTATTGTGGAGGCAGATGGCATAGCAGAAGGAAGTTTGGAAAAGGATTTGCTGTCTTTGGATAATGAAAAAACCAGCTGTGGTTGTATATTTAGAGTTTTAAAAAATAATCTACTGATCATCTAGCATTTGGTTATTATGAAATGAAGCCCAAGATGAAATTTTACCCTAGTCATATGGTTTTCAAACAAGATACTTGGGTGGAGTAGAGGAAAGATGGGAATCCTTATATTTATTTTGTAACGCTTGTTTTCTTACATTTTGTTTTAGTGTTTAGGGTTGCAAACACATGTAAAATAGAGAAACACATAGAAGCAAAATATCTCAAGACCTATAGAGAAGATAGGGGTATTGTGACTCATTGGACAACTCCACTTGCAAATAAATGTTCCTCTACTCTACTGGGGCTTTCATTTGACATTACTTACGTTAGGTTTCTAGATTTTAATCCTCTGTTATCCCATTTTCACTTTCTAGCTGTCTATCTTAAGCAGAATGTGAAAAGACCCCTTATCATTTGTTTTAATCAAGATTAGACTTCTGTTTCATGATAGAATTCACCAGAAATGTAACCATCTCAGGTCTCTGATGAAAATCTAACTGGAGTGAACCCAGCTGTAACTACTCGTGTGCTATATGATGGTGGAGTTTTTCTTGGACCCATATTTGGAGACATGTTGGTGACTGCCAACCAGCGCACTCAGGTGAGAGTGGATGGGCCACCCAAGTGCCGGCCTCAGTCTAACTCAGCCCCTCCCTGATTTGTAATGAGGCTCAATGGATTTATCTCCCAAGGGCCATTTTTCCAATCAGTAAAACAGGGACAATTCCAATTGTCTTCTTTCTAGTCTCACAGAGCCTGTAAAATGTTATGAAAATATAAGTGCTTTGTAAACACAACATTGGATTATCATAATTGTTAATGCTGTTATTGTGGTATAAAATGGTAGAGAACCTTATAGCTAAATATAATTTATGCCTTCACACAGTTGAATTGGAAAATAAATAAGCTAAGTTGACTCCTTTCTCTTTCTGCCCGTATTTCCTGTTATAGGTCGTCTACTTTTAACAAGAGAAAAATTTAAAATTCAAAAACTACACAGAATAAAATAACCCACACCTGGGTACCCAAACTGAGAACTGAGAGTTGTCAATAATTTGATATATTTATTTTCTCTTTTTTGTCCTTATGTATAAATTACATGTTATAGATAAAATTGAAGTGTTCTTTATCACCCATGCCATTCCGATCTCCCTCCCCTCTATAAATAAAACAACAACAAAAACCCTTTTGCCTTCTAGTTGATTCCAGCTCATAATGACCCTATAGGACAGAGTTGAACTGTCCCATAGGGTTCCCAAGGCTGTAGTCTTTGCAGAAGCAGGCTGCCACATCTTTCTCCTGTGGAGTGGCTGGTGGGTTTGAACCTCTGACCTTTCGGTTAGTAGCCAAGCACTTAACCACTGTGACACCAGGGCTCCTTCCCTTCTATAAATAAGCACTCATAGCATGTGTGTTTTTAATCTATTTTTTATTTGTAGAGAGGCAATCGAGGCATATCTATTTCACCTGCCTCATCTATGAGTATTGTTTATGTTCTGCTAGATTAACATTAGTTCCAGTGAGAGGGGAAGACATATAGTTTCTTCTAGGGGACCCACCATTTTAGGACAAAAAAGACCCAAAACCAAATATATCCTGTTGTTCTTGCGTGCCGTTCAGTCGGTTTAGACTCATAGAGACCCCACATGACAAAGTAGAACTGCCCCATAGGGTGTTTCGGCTGTAATCTTTATGGAAGCAGATCACCAAGTCTTTCTCCCCCAGAGCTGCTGGGTAGGTTTGAACCATCAGCATTTTCCTTCGCAGCTGAGCACTTAACTATTGTGCTACCAGAGCTTCGTATATAGACATGTAGTGATGGTGTAAGGAAGATGCCTGTTTTATTGGCATTTATCAGTAAAGAAAGGACTTTTCACAGGAAGTGAGTACTTAGTTGAAAATACACTGTGTTACAAAGTTCTTGAGCAGATTTAATTGTATTAAATTCACTCCTATACAAGACAGAGAGGTAAGTTACTCAAGGTTTAGCATATTTAATTGCAGAAATGTTAGGTTTCAGTATACCCACCATCATTTTAATAAAGCTTGACATGTCTTGAGCCATTTATTATAATTTAGGGCTTCTCACCAGGAAAATAGAAGAAAAGAGACCAGAATAAGTAAATCATCGACACATTTTAATTTTGGAAATCTGCGCAAGAACTTTATGAATACCTTGTGCATCCAGAATACATACATTTGTTTTTAATTCTTTTGCGTTTTTCAGGTGGTTGTGCGAGTGAATGATATACCAGCTCATTGCTCAGGTTCCTGTTCTTTTCAGTACCTTCAAGGCTCAACTCCCCAGGTCCATTCTGCATGGTATTCTCTTGGTATGATCTGTGGCTTGGCACTGAGTTGGGCATGAACTTTAGACTCAGAGTAATTTTGTTAGAGGCCATGTATCTGGTGATGGGGTAAGTAGAAGATGCATCAGTTTATGAGGTGGAAGTTGAGTGACAGAGCAGAAAGTGTGTTTTTTTTGGCTGGTTAAGTGCTTGACTGCTAACCGAAAGGTTGGTGGTTTGAACCCACCAGCAGCTCCATGGGTGAAAAGACCTGGTGGTCTGCTCCCATAAAAATTACAGCCTCGGAGACCCTGTGGGGTAGTTCTACTCTGTCACATGGAATCGCTATGTAGTCAGAGTGGACTCGAAGGCACACAGCAACAACAATCAAAGTGACAATATGGTCATGATTTGGAAATAGACACAAGTGGATTTTTGAAGACTTAAAATGCTCCGTCCCTTGTTTTGAAATGTTATTTTGATTTTATTTTCATTTTTTATTGAGCAGTGATCTCTCATTACTAGTTTGAGAAAATTTTAAAGGGGGCCGGGTATTCCAAGTCAATACAGATGTCCGGTGTTTGAGTCAGCATTCGACTCCCTGAATGTTGGGAGGTGATGGTGAGAGGGAATGAATGTTTGATGTTAGAGTAAGGTCTCTTAAATGGAGTGATAGCACTGAGAGATGATTTTGTTTGTTCGTTTTTCTTCCTTTAAGACAATGACACCAACCTACTGGTTCATATTACTGGAACTGGTTTCTCTGATGACTCCCAGGCCTTGAGGGTTGCAGTGAACATAACAAGTTGTGAAGTTATTTTCTCAAACCTAACGTATGTCATCTGTCACATGGGCATGCTATCAGTTGGAGTGCATTGGATCTCGATGTTGGTGAGACCCTCTGGTCTTGCCATCAACGCCAGTGGAGAAGGCCTCTTCTTACATGTGGAGCCCAGGCTGGATGCTGTGGAGCCTTGCAGAGCTGCCGAGATTGGTAATTGGGGAAGGACACCACATTCCATCTGCCCTTCTGAAACCAGCCTTTTGGCTGATGTGCAGGAATCTAGTCCTGCCACGAGATAAATTCTGTATCCACTATGATTCACAGCTTTTTGTTTTCTGCCATTGCGTTTGTTCTAATGAACAACAGACATTTGGACCCTTAAATGAACTCACTTGCCACATAAAGGATCATAGTTTGGCTGGTGTTGCAAGGCATAATTGGGTCAGTCACTGAGTCAGCAAGACTATTTAGTCTAGTGGAAATAGCCCTGGGTTGGGGGTGAGGGGGTGAGGGAGCAACCCTAGTGGCACAATGGTTAAGAGCTCGGCTGCTCACCAAAAGGTCGGCAGTTTGAATCTACCAGCTGCTCCTTGGAAACCTTATGGGGTGGTTCTACTCTGTCCTGCAGGGTCACTGTGAGTCGGAATCGATGTGACGGCAATGGGTGGGGGGTGAGGGGATGTGCCTAGGTTTTAGTCGTACCCCAAGTCAGATGGGTGACCTTAGAAGTTTCAGTTACTTCTATGGGACTCATTTTCCTGATTAACGATTATGATAGCCTTAATATAATTTATCTTCTAAATGCTTCCAATTCCCCAAAGATGGAATTATTATACACATTTTTTCAGGTGAGATATTGTGGTTCTAAGAGGTAAATGATTTGCCTAAAGGTTTCACAATGGAAAGAGGTGGATCTAGGACAAGAAACTAAGATTGTCTGATGCCAATGTTCTTGTTTGTTCTATAGTACCTTGCTATTTTACTTATACAGTGGGGCTGATGATGCTTGACTTCCATGACTTCTAGTTTTGCAGAAGATTAAAGTGAGCCAAGTTTATTTTTTCCCATACAAAAATTTATACATATGTTTTTTATGTGACTCTAATTGCTCTCCCCATACTGTGACAGCACACTCCTCCTTTCCACCCCTGATTCCCCATGTCCATTCAACCAGCTCCTAACCCTCTCTGCCTTCCCA